GAAAGGAGAGGAGGTGTTGGTTGAAAAGTTTCTACACCCCCATAAGCCTCTCCAACGACTCAGCAATCCAAATCAGACCAAATCAAACAGAATTAGAAGAAGTCCACATTTAATGGATACAATGCTCCCGGATGGCCTTCCAGCCTCCCAGAGAGGAGACAGGAAAAACCACGTGTCTGGTTTGGGGTGGGGGTGGGGGCAATTTAAATACCCTGTGGGAGTGGTCTTGAGAGTCTCTGGGGGAGGGAGGTCATCATTTGGCAGCCTTTCTGAGTCGCAGCAGGGTTTGGAGGGTGATGGGGGAAGAGGGTTTGGGTGGAACCTCCATCCTTGCAGGGTCTTTGCTGGAGTGCTAAGCCTCTCTTGGGAATTTCAGTCAAACGAACAGAGTGTGGGTGGGAGAGGGGAGCTCTAAAGAAATCAAGCGTCTCTCCTTCATTGGAGGAAGCCTTAGGGAAGTCCTTGTATGCAAATGCTCTGAGAAGGTTACTGCCCTGCCAACTGCTCGGTTTTCCTGCTGAGCAAGGCAACTGTGCTTTTCAGAAAGCACGTAGAGCCTGCTGTGCCACCAAGGCAATTCTGTGTCATCTAGACACATGCAGACACCTGCCTTGGGTCCCCCAGGTGGAGAGAGCCTGGTGTTTGATCACCTCTATTGCTTGCCCTGGCTTTCTGGTCCTAGACACTTACTCACCTTCTAACCATAAGAGGCAACTGGGAAATGAGCTCTGAATCAAGGCTGAGTCATCCAGGCAGCTTCCTGCCCAGGGTTGAGTGGGGATGTCTACGTGGAAGAAATCTCTCTTCAGTGGGACAAAGGTGCACTTGACGTTATCCAGTGCTGGTGGCCAGATAGTGAAACCCATATGGGGAGGTCTGTCTCCTGGACCTGTCCCTTTCTTCCTAGTGATGATTAGGCTCACCTGGTCCCCACAGAGTGGCCACCATCAGAGGAAGGGGACCCCAGGGTCTGCTCCTCACAGGTGGGCTTGCAGCCAGCCTCTCTCTCTAGCCAGACTTGCCACCGGGTGGTAGCATCCTGCCTACCCCAGATACTCAAGTATTCACACCATTTCAGGCCAATGCAATGTCAGCGTTTGGATCACTCTGACCCACAGACGGAACCTTCTGACACTGTGACATTTCTGTGCTCTTCTCCTGTGAGGGAGGATGTGATTTGTGAGACTGGGTGTTCTCACACAAGATTACAGTAGCCTAGACCAGGCAGTTGAAATTCCAAGCAATTGTTTCACTCAGAGCCCCTTGGGGATCACCTGGAAGGCTATTCCCCTAGGGACTTGCATTCTCACATGGCCCCTGTACATCCTGAGTGCATGCAGCTGGACACAGGTTTTAAGGCACGAAGCTAGGAGCTCATTTCCCCCCAGCTGTGTGGCCCCGGGGCCCAGAGACTGTTGGTTAGAGACAAAATTACAGGCTATGCACTCAGTAACCTATTGTTTGCCCTCGTAGTGGCTTGGTTCTGCTTAGGGAATCAGATTATCTCTCCATTTCTTTTTCTTTGACCAACTACCCTGCTATCTAGAGCAGAGTTTTTTTTTTCTCTCTCTCCAGAAGAAAAAATTCCATTTACAGAACTGGAGCCAGGCCTTAATCTCCTCCCTGTTGAGGATGCATATGTTTCCTTCTTATCCTTGGGTCATCATTCCCTTATCCTTGGATAAAAGCTAACGTTTACTGGGGACCCTACTGTGTGCTATGCTGTTTGGTCCTGGGTGGCTTACATGCAAGACCGCCAAAGACTAAAGGGCTTCCACAACAATTCTTTAAAATAGATATTAATTAGGCCATGTTATAAATATGTAAATTGAGGGGTAGGAAGCCTCGAGATTTACCTGAGGTCACAGATCTCATTGTAGGTAATTCTTATTTTTTAAATAGTTTATTCTTTGAGTTGTTCATAGGAGTAGATGATATTAAACCCAGAAATTGGGTCTCTTGAATGTCACAGGAAATGACAATCCTGCCCAATCACTCAGCCTCCCAGGCCTAGTCGAGCACAAGAATGTATTATTTCTCCTCTCTTTGTTCACAAAGGCAAATGATTGGTTACCATCTACTTTTAGTTTTCTTGGTTGCTGTATCTTGGAGATCATGCCAAATCAGTAAATATACTTACCACATTTTTTAAAAGCTACACTCATAAATAATTTGAAAATGTACCATGCTGTGTTTAACAAGTGTCCCCTGTTGTGGGACACTTGATCTGGCCCAGTATTTTGCTGTCACAAACAGCTCTGCAGGGACTGTCCTGGTGAGCACATCACTTTGCACAGGAACAAGTTCATACAAGGTAGGTTCCTGGAAGGGGAAAGCCTAGGAATGGCCAACAGTATGTGCATTTTTAATTTAAGCACATTTTTCATCATGAAGCTTTTCCAGCATTGCAAAGGGAAAAGAGAGGTATGATGAACTCTCTATTCACCATTGAGTTTCAGTTACTATAAAAATCCACGGGTGAAACCTCTTTCCGTATACTTCTTGGTTCCGTCTCCTTCCTCTGCCTCAATTTATCTTGAATCAACCCTGACATGTTCTGTCACTCACTGGTCAATACTTTGGGAAAGTTTTTGAAAAGCAAGAGAGTTTTAAAGAAGAAGGACTAGAAAGCATGTATATGTAATTTCATATAATAATAAATAATAACTTGTTAATATCGTCAGATACCCTATCAATGCCAGAATTTCCCAGATTGGCTCATAAAAATTTCTTCTCCTAATAGTTTGCTCTGTGATCAAAATCCAAACGTAAATTGCGGTTAGTTGGTTGTTGGTGTTTTTGTTTGTTTGTTTGGTTGGTTGGTGTTTGGTCCATTGGGTTCTCCTCCTGTCCCTCTTCCTCAGCATTGTAGAAATGGGGTAAGTCTGTTTTGAGAGACTGAATTTTCCTGACCATATGACCTTGAGGTATTTAATAGCTCTCTAATGTCAAAAGGAAAATACAAAGATAAGTCACAGAACTTTTTAGTAAAGAAGGCAGCGTAACAGAGTCAGCGTGGTGCAGCCGCAGCAATTAGTAGAAGAAACTCTACATAGCCATGTCAATAAGAATAAAACTAAAAGTATAACTCACACAACGTAAACAAATAAAAGGAAGCAGGAAGAGGATAGATGCAGAATTCGTGCTTCGTTATTCTTTGAACCTGTATTTAAAACCGAGGCTTAAGACTCACTGTCACAGACCTAGACCATTTGGTAATCTACAGCTTTTACATAGAGAAAGTAAATGTTAGTAGCATCAGAGCGATTGATCTGTCTACATACACTTCGCTTTGAATCTACAATACAGCCTACCTTGACCATCAGTGGGAAGTCACTTAGGGTATGCCTCACTTGGAAGATGGGGACAAGAGCAGAATGGATTCCCTGTGTCAAATCACAGCTTGTCCACCCTCTTCGAAGAAAAGTGTGAACCCCGGGGAGTCACCTGTGTGAGCGACTAGGAGTTGAGGATTTCTGATCCTTTATGACACTCTTATGGTCTTGTTCTCTCATAGACACGGGTGCAAATCTCATCTGGTATAAAAAAAAAAATCATTCACTTCATCTAGAGCAAAAGTCCTCATCACATAACTGAGATAATTAACTTTACCTAAAGGGGCTGAGCATCCTGGGGGGAGGTCAGATATAGCTGGTGCTTAGTAAGTGACAGCTCATATTTCTGAGAGTCCACCATGGAGACCCTCTCGTGGTACCAGTCAGGAAGTACCAACGAGAAGAAACCCATCACACAGCTCTTTCTGCCCTTTCTGAGAAATGTTACCCTGTGCTCCCCTGGAAGATGCCTACTCACAAAACCTCTAGCATTGTGATGGTCCTTTAGTCGATTTGACTGGACTTAGGATCCCCTAGGAGATCTCTAGATGACTCTTTGAGGATGGTTACAGAGGGGTTTAACTGAGGGTCAAAGACTGACCCCCAAAGGTGAGCAGCACCTCTCAACAGTTGACCTCTCAGACAGGATGAAAAGGGGAAGAGTCAACTGGACACCTGGTCTCATCTTGCTTTGCTTCCTGACTGAGAAGGCAACATGACCAACCAACTCCCCGTTCTCACAATGGCCATGCCATCTCAGTGAGGACCAGCTGTATCCCTTCATAAACCTGGCACCCAAATGTTAAGTCGCTTGTTGGGTCAAGCACCGTGAAGACACTAACGCAGGCTTTCATTGCATCTCCACGTGTCCATCTGCATGTGGACCCACCACCTACTCAAGAGCAGAATCTGCCCTTCTTCTACACATCGGGATACGGATGTGTTCTACCACCATGTTGGACATTGTCTCCTATCCCACGGAGGGCCAGCTCTGTGCAGAAGACCTTGGCTTTGAGCTTGAAGGACACATTAAGACCATCATTTGCTTTCTGTCTGCATGGAGCCACAGAACGTAAACAGCTCTCAACCTTCTTTCAGTCAGCTCCCTGATGGAACAGACACATTAAAGACTCTTTAGGTCATTGGTTGGGTTCATTCCACCATGGAGAGGTATTTGCAAGGTAAGGCCCAGCAAACCACCACACCAATGCATGCCCTGTGCATACATTGTTCCTCCCCCAAATCTCCAAATGGCCCATCCATGTTTGCAACAGACTGCAACCAGGCAACCCAGAGGAGGGTCCTGGTGAGAATAGACCCATGTCATCCTGCCCTTAGGTGGCAGTGGCCACAGCCCTCTGCAATACACTGCCGCTGGCCCCCGGAGCCCAGGCCAGCAGGGCGCAGGGAGACTTGGCTCTGTGCGCCAAACATCGGGAAGCAAGGAAGAACGTTAAGTCAAACAAAGGGTCCGCAGCAGCTGCAGCAGGGGAGCACGCGACGGCGACAGGCGATCGAGGGGCGCTCGCCACCGCGCCCTGCTCCCTTGGCCCGCGCGCCCAGCCCGCCGCCCCGGCGCGTGTGTCCTTATATGGTCAAATGACTCGGCGGGGGTTCTCGAGGGCGGGAGCGGCGCGGGCTGCACTCCGCCTGCTGAGCCGCCGCTGCCGCTGCCGCCGCCGCCGCGCCACAGTCCTCTGGGTGCCCTAGACCCTGGCCCCTTAGCGCGCGAGTGCTCCTGCCGCCGCCCAGTCCACAGCCGGGCCTGGTACACAAGAATAGCCACCAGACAGCTGCCCCAGCACGCGTGGAGAGACCCCGGTAGCCAGCGTACCCCGACCGCGGGGCGGAGACCCGGGAGACCGAAGCAAGGCTGTGCAGACCGCACCCGGGTAGGGACCCAAAACCGAGAGGAACAGATCCTGGCGGTAGGAGAGCCCTGTTTTGCAAAGGACACCCGGGATGGGGACCTAAAACGGAGTGCATATCCGGGGAGGAGAGAGCCTAGCCGGGCAGGGGATACTCAGCACGGGGACTCGAAATGAAGGGGATAGGGCGAGTCTTGGAGGCGGTGGATCGGAAACATGGGGCCAGAAGGGGAGTCTTGAAGGGGAGACCCCAGGATGGGGGAGTTGATTTCGGGAAGACACCTCCAGGAAGAGCGGATTCGGGGCAGAGAGGACCAGAATCATGAGTGCTAGAGACCCGAGCATAGGAGAGCCTAACTTGGGGACAGGACCATTGGTGTCCAGAGAGAGGGCTACAGCCCTAGAGGAGTGAGTGGGTCGCCGCCAGGTGGTGAGAGACGATGAGCCGCCCACAGGCGATTTCCCCCAGGGGCAAAGAGGAACTGAAGTCTATGGAAGGGAGGTGACAAGCTGGTCAGCACGTGGAAGGCCAGACATTTCCCTTGGGAAGAAGTGGAAGTTTGGCCCTGTGACCACACAGCTTGACTCATCCACAAGATTAAAACCTGAGCCATAGGGTTAAATACTACTACTACTACTACTACTACTAATAATAATAATAATAGTAACACGTTGAGATGAACAGAATTCTAGCCGATAGATTGCGTAGTCTTGTGATGTCTTGTGGAAAGAAACTCTTCAATGCTGTTTTTGGTTTTAGAGGAAACATTGGCAGTATTTGCTCCGGTTGTGTTTCTGGAACTCAACGAAGTAGGCATTTTATGAAATGCACAGCTGTCTCTGGCAAAGCCATCTTGTGGCATGCACTTTCTTACACATATTTTTTGGGCTGATAGACACGAGATTGTTTTCAAAACGTGACTCTAGATGTGTCCCGTGTTGCGGTGCTACTCTGCTTATATGTATATTTTGCAGGAATGTATTAGAGGAAGGTTGCTTGTGGTAGTGTGTGTGTGTGTGGTTATTGTTGTTGTTGTTTGAGATAAAGCTTGACTCTGTAGCCGGGAAAGCCTGGAATTTACCATGCCATCCCAGGTGACCTCAAACGGGTGCCTATCCTACTGCCTAAGCCTTTGAAGTGTTACCATCGCAGGAATGACTGCAAATTCCTGCAGCTGTGATGATTTAAAAACCCCCTCAAGTCCCCTTCCCACCAAAGACAACAAACAATGTGCCCTAAGAGGTTATGGATTCCCAACCCAAAACCTAAAGGTCATGAAAACCAAATTTAAAACACTGATTTTTCTCACTCTTTTTTTTTTTCAGATTCAGCTCTCTCCTAATTTTTTTTTTTTTAACAGAATAGTGTATCACATTGGAAGCCCCCATTCTTTGTCCTTCCTTCTTGCTGTCCAGCCTCACAGATACAACATGAATGGGTGCAGAAGGCTTGGCTGGCAGATGCACTTGAAACCGAACCAAGATGCCAGAATTAACATAGGGACCTCTCAGCCCACATGGCCTTGCCTACGTCACAATATCTATTGGTTTCCCAGTTTCCTCCCAGAGAATCAGATAACAAAGATGCTTTCCCAGCAAGATACATATATACATATATGCACACACACATATCCTGCATATTATGCACAGCATGTGTAGATTTTATTGCCTCTTGTTCACAGATAAAGAAACAGAAAGATCGAAGTACCTCTGATGTCCAAAGTTTCCCAGCCTGTAAATCATAGCCCTGAGAACTGTCTCCAGAGATTTCTACTCTGTACTGGGCCTCACTGTATGAATATTTTGTGGAGGCCCTACATGGCATATTTTCACCTAAGATCGTTAAGTGCCATCAATACTAAGCAATATCTCAACTGCAGAGAGAAAAATGCTTAGCAGGATATAGAAGAAAATTAAAAAAAAAAAAAATCAGAAGGCCAAGAGGCCTGGATTATTCTATCCCTCTTCTGCACGGAAGGCTGACTACCCAGCATCTGACACCCCATGTCTAAGTCACTGTCATGGTCCTGTGAAAAGACACAGTTTCGGAAGCTTAGTCCATCATCACCACAGCAGGGAACATGGTGGCACACAGGCAGACTGATGTTGGAGATGAAAGTAGATGAAAGTTCTACATCATGTTCCGCAGGTAGACGGGAGAAAAAGAGTCTGGGCCTGGCCTGGGCTTTTGAAACCTCAGAGCCTACCCTCAGTGACACACTTCCTCTATCAAGACCACACTTCCTAATCTTTCTGTTCCTCCAGAGAATTCCACTTCCTGGTGACTAGGCATTCGAACATGTGAGCCCAGGAGGGTCGCTCTAATTTAAACCAACATACAACAGCTTCCACATTTGTAAAGCAGCTGTGCTTCAGATAGGATTTTTCTTCGAGACTCTTGTGTTGGAAGCTTGGTCATCCTTGGGTAAAAGTTGGGAGGTACAGACATGTACACACTATGTAAAAATAATAATAATAATAATAACAATGAAAGAGCTTAAGAGAGGGGCCCTAGACAGCAGAAGCCCCCCCCCCTTAGGAAGGGACAGTGATACCCATCTGTCTCAGTGTCTGCTTCCTTTGGCAGTGTGATCTCTCTCTGTCTATGTCCTCGGTGAGGTCCTCACCAGAGCAGAGCCGAGGCCTTTGAATCTCTAGAATTACCAGTTATAGAAAAAAAAAAAGCTGCAGAGTTTAGGATGTTGGAAAGTGTCCTTGGAGCCAGCAAATAGAGCTTTTCGTGGAACTAGACTGTCAGTCAAAGAGGGTATAGTCCTGTGCTTGCTGCAACCTTTGGAGCCAGCTGAGTTAGGCAATCAGCAAATGAGTGGAAGGAAATGCACCGGCTTCTCTTGATGGAGCCCTGATATGGAACACCGAGGCAGAACCACAAAAGAGAAGGGTACCGTGAAAAGAACGAGGAGCAGTTGTTCTTGGAGTGGGGGAGGCTAAAGGGAAAGGCCAGCAGAAGTGTGTGTAAGGAGTTGGGGCTGCAATATGGAGGTCAGGCAGAGGAAGACAAAGCTGCTAATGATTTGTACCTTTTGGGAGAGAAGGAGCCTGCTGAGAGAGAACCGTTGGCTTTCCTTCTGTAGGTGTGGAAGCTGACAGACAGCATCAGTCACTTGTTCACACCCTCAAAAGCAGTGGTCCAGCGATCGGATGGGATCTCCCTCCGTCTGGAAGACTTAGGAACTTGAAGCACCCTGCCCTTCCGGGCTTCACCAGGTTGTCTTGTGGGGACTGAATGTGCATGTTTTGAGAATAAGTGTTGTGATAGGATCAGGCTGTAGCTGCTTGGCAGAGTGCCTTTGATTTCAACTCCCAGTACCTAACAGTCTAGGGACATCTCGGTTACTCAGTACAACCTTTTGACTGGATTAAAAAGTCTGAAGCATATTTTTTTTTTTTTTTAAGTATAGCTATCCCGGATTGTTGGGCTTCAGAAATTTGGCATCTATTGGCTTTCATTATTGAATAATCCAAGGATCATTCAGAAGACAGCATTTTGCACCTCCCCCCTCCTTTAATCACAAATGAATCTTAAGTTTCCATTTTCTGTTACTGGTTATGCACTAGTATGTATTCAGTATGGAACATACATGCCTCACCTTGACCTCTGTACCCTTAAGGTGCACTATACAATGAGGGGCTCGTTAAGTGAACCAATGAGCTTAGACTTTATAATCTAAAGTGTTTGCAATCCAGACATACAGAGGTTGACCTCAAGTGGATTCTGGGTAGGTTGTTATTTTTAGGCACACTTAGACACTCAGGTACCATTTGAGCTGGTAACCATTCCTTTCACCGGCATCTCTACTTAAAACTAAGTCAGCTTGATTAGATTTACTTAGACCAAAGAGAACAATGTTGAGTAAGCACAATTTGCCTGTCAGTATCACCATCCAGGGCAAGACAAATCCCTCCACAGACTGGTGCTGATGTAAGAGTACCTTGCCTCTGGGCTTGGGAGCATCATTGATTACAAACACAACACCCACCAGGGGACATTGCTGATCTCTGTGGCCCATGTCTGGATCTGTCCATTTCCCCCCCCCTCAGGGCTTAGGAGTGTCTCTTGGATGGCTTCTTGCTTCTTGACCTACTCAGGTTGTAGCCTGAACTACGCAGCTGTGTGTTGGCTGGATTCGGAGTCCAAACACAACAAGAATGTTCTCCCTCCTGTGGAAGCAGCAAATTATCTGGGAGGAGGGATGAAAGAAAATAGTGGTGGAGAGAAAGCATAGAGACCTGGATCTGTTAGTGTAGAGATCTCAATGGCATCAGACGCCAAACTATGGTTACTTTTGGGTAGACTGTACATGCAAAACATTCCACCTTCTCACCCTTGACCTTTGCCCACATCTCTACAAGATACTTCTGTTTCAGATTGTTTATTTTATTATTATATGTCCATGAGCATCTTACCCACATGGATGTCTGTTGTCCAAGAAGGTCAGAAGAGGGCATCCGATCTCCTGGGGCTGGGATTACACAGACAGCTATGAGATTCCATGTGGGTGCTGGTAATCAAACCCGAATCCTCCGCAAGGGCAGCAAGTGTTCTTAAACCACTGAGCAAACTCCACAGCACTTTGCTAAGACTTTTGATTCTTTTGCCCATCTGCTCATTTATTTTTTCATTTGTTCTACTTCTAAAAGGCCCTGTTTGTGATCCCTGCTGGAGAAGTCTCCATGACAAACAAGGCTCCCAGACCAATCATATGGTTGGTTGGCACAGGCAGGTCATACTGGGGCTCACGGAGCACTGTGTTTTCACTCACTGCATTCCTACAAAGAGCCAACAGCCAACGGACCGACTTCTTATATTTTATTAGCGAACTGTGTTGAATTACTTCCTAGCATTGAGATTTCCTTCCGAAATCTGTGGCAACATTTAAAGATCAGCATGGTGAGAGCCAAATCTAGTAGCCCAAGCCTGGAATCTAGAGTCACAAGCATGAGGAATGCGTGTTTAAGGCCAGTCTGGGCTACACAGCAAGACCCTGTCCTTCGTGAGTGAACAACGAAAGAAGGAATATTAACTGGCTGGTTGTAGT